GATTGGTTGGGGGCAATTTCATACTCCTATGCCTCAGTTTTATCAACTACAAAATGGGATAAATTACTCCCTGCTTGATGCCCAAAGTAAAAAGAACGAGGCCTGTCATTAGTGAGTGTTATGCACCTTCACAAAACCTACAGTTAAATGCCAACTGAGGGCCATGGTTCAGTAGCTTGGTGACCCCAGAGTCATTCATGCATTTCTCCATCACAGAGTCAGCAATTTGTCCCTAAGGAAAGACCACATGTTCCCTCGCTTGAGGCAAATAGTTAATTCTCCTTTGATGAGTACACCTCACATTTGGTTCTAAAAATTGTTTCTTGTGATAGAGTTTGTTCCTCAACCATTGCTTTTTTTTTTTTTTTTTTTGAGTTGGTGTCTCACTCTGTCGCCCAGACTGGAGTGCAGTGGCTGCTCCCGGCCACCGCAGCCTCGACCTGCTGGGCTCCGGCGATCCTTCTGCCTCAGGCTTCCAAGTAGCCGGAATTACAGGCATGTGCTACCATGCCCGGCTGATTTTTTGATTTATTGTAGAGATGAGGTCTCGCTGCCCAGGCACGTCTCGAACCCGCAGGCTCAGGCAATCCACTCACCTCAGCCTCCCAAAGGCGTGGGATTACAGGCTGAGCCACCGAGCGGGGCTAACCATTGCTTTTTAAAGAATGTGTAACTACCTCTTACCAGCGGCCATGGAAGACAATGGCGCATTCTTGTCTCCAAAACCTAATTCCAGAGGCAGTTAGCTCCCAGCCAATAGCTCTGCATTCTGTCTTTAACTGGAAATTGTCCCTTCAGTGCAGGCTGGCTTCTTCTTTATGCCACATGCTGGCAGTTAAGAGTGGACTCTGATAATGCTGTTGACAGACGATAAGGAAGAAACGTGGTCTAAGGCAGTGCAAAGCGGTGTTTACAATTCCTACAGGAAACAGCAGTTCTATTTTCAATATATTTTCAGAGGTCAGTTATACATGCGTATGGGGAATGAATTTCATTTTGTTTAAAGTACAATAGCAGATTCTCCAAGGAAGACACAGGGAGATAATAGCACGTGATGGCTCCCAGAACATACTTACAAAAAGAAAAGTCAGAGAGACCCTGTTTCTCTTCACACCCTGGTCCTGCTGACTAATCTAGGCTTGGCTAATCTGGAGTTTAATTTAAAGGAAGGATCCTTTTGTTTAACTCACGCAGACAATTATTTCCCTTCATCTTCACACGTACACACACGCACACACACAAATGCACACACACAAACACACACACACACACACACACACACACAAAGTTCTCCTTGTGTAGCACAAATCTAGGGGCTTAGAAAAAAACAGTTTGTTTTTAAGTATAAAATTTTAATTATACATTGTTCCATATTTTACAGTTAAGGGCACTTTGTCTTATTGCTTTCAGAATTAATGTTTAGAAATACATATGCTGCAGGTGCATTTTACATCTTCAGTAAATGCTAACATGTTTAATAATATTGAGTTTAGTATATATTTTCTTTTGCATTCTTACTATGTACTAAGAACTTTATATAATAATAATGCCACTTTCAATTTATTGGCCAGTCACTGTTGGAACACTTTGTTGTGTATTCAGTCCTTTAGAGTTAACAGCGACCTAAGGAAGTAAGTATTAGTATTACTCCATTTTACAGATTAAAGAAGACTGAGGCTTGGGAGAGACTAATTTGACTAAAACCATCACAGTCAGAATTCAAACGCAAGACTGTCCCTTGAAAGCATGTGTTCTCTCTGTGCTGCAACCAGGACAGGGCCCCGGCTTAGTCTTGGTTCCTGTTGCTCAGTGCCCAAGCTGTCTGAGTGGTGAATTTGCCTGAGAAGAGTGTGGTGCTGTTGGGGCTGGAAGGGCTGTATTGCTGGAGGTGCAACAGGCCAGCATTGTCCTGGCAGAGCCAATAGATAGTGCAGAAGAGCTGAGAACAGTGCCATGGTAGCAATTTTAAAGAGCCACTGTGTGCGGTTCTTGCTGTCTGACTTAATGGAACAGGCATCCTTTTATGCAGCACGGGTGACAGGAGCTTGATACGCCTGCCGGCTTCTACCATGCTGGCAGATCCAGTAAGCAACGTGCCCCATCCCACTTCACTTCTTAGTGGAATTGGGCAGGATTCATGATTCCTTCCTTCTTGAAACATTCTTCTCCCTTGGCTCCAGGACACTCAGTTTCCTAAGTTTCCTTCTTACATCACTGGCCACTCCTCCTCTGCTCCTTTTTACAAGATCCTCCTGCTTTTCCTGTTCTCTAGATATTGGAGTCCTTGGATGGTCTCTTATACATTCAGCTTCATGACTTTTAATACCAACTGAGCACTGATGACTCTCAGATTCATATCTTCAGCCTCAACTCGTCCCTGGACTCAGGGCATGTCTAAGTACCCTAACTGACACCTCCACCTGGATGTCCGATCGCTCTCTGAGACTTAGCATGGCCATAGCATGACTCTTGATTTCTCCCCATGTATTAGCTATCTGTTGCTGCATTAAAAATTGTTCCAAAACCTCATAACTTAAAACAACAATAAACATATATCAAGCCAGTCACAGTGGCTCACTCCTGTAATTCCAGCCTACTTGGGAGGCTGAAATGGGAGGATTGCTTGAGGCCAGGAGTTCAAGACCCCTTCTCTAAAATATATTTTTTAAATTATCCAGGCATAGTGGCATGTGCCTGAAATCTCAACTACTAGAAGGTTGAGACAGGAGGATCACTTAAGGACAGGAGTTCAAGGTTACAATGAGCTGTGATTGTGTTGCTGCTCTGCTCTCCAGCCCAGACAATAGAACAAGACCTTGTCTCTAAATATATATATTTATACTTCACTTCTGCTGTATTTCTTGACCGCTCAGATGAACTCTGATACAGTGTAGTTAGCAACTGCAGAAGAATATAAACAGCGGGAGACAGGGGCCATTGGAAGCCATCTTAGAGGCTGATTACCACATCCCACAAGCCCACTGTTGCCCCTAGACTCCTCATCTCATTGAATGGCCTGTTGCTCAAACTCAGGCCAAAATCCTGGGACTCATCTCTTTAAAGTTCTCATCTAATTCATCAGCAAATCCTGTTAGCTCCATCTTCACATTCTACCCTGGAGTAATTGTGGCATCTCTCACCTCATCTACAATAACGACCCTAATCTCAGCCCACATTGACTATAGTAAGCTACTGACATCCATGTTTCCACTCTCGCTACCAAAGTCTCTCCTTCGGTAGCCAGAGGGAGTCATACCACATCACTCCTCTCTGCTCAGCAACTTCCAGTGGTTGCCACCTCGCTCAGTGCAAAAGCCAACATCCTTGCCGAGATCTCCATGATCTGCCCCTGGCAGATATCTCTGAGCTGTTCCCCATCCACTCTACTATGCCTCCATGCTGGTTCTCAAACACCAAGCCTGGATCTGCCTCAGAGTCCTGCAGGCGCTGCTCCTTCTGCCTGAATCACTCCCTCCCTGGACAGTCATGGGGTTTGTTCTGGCAGGTGTCTGCTCGAATGGCACCTCCCCAGAGAGGCCTTCCATGACCATGCTATCCAAGTTGGTGCTTGTGAATCCCAACCCACTCACTCTGCTTTGTTTTTCTTCATATCATGTATTACTACTGGACCATACACTATATATTTATCAACTTTCTTGTTTATCATCTGTTTCCTTCTCTAATATATAAGCTCAGAAGGGCAGAGATACCATTCATTTTGATTTTCTGGTGGACTCTGGCACATGATAGTTGCTCAAATACTAATTTGTAAAATAAATGAATAAATGACTACATGGGAGTATTTAATTCCTCTAGAACAGTGTCACCCAATAGACCTTTCTTCAATGGTGGAAACTCCTTACATATGTGTTATGTGACATGGCAGCTACTGAGTTCTTAAACTGTGACTAGTGTAACTGAGGAACTGAATTTTTTTATTTTATTTTATTTTTTAATTGACTTTAAATAGCTACAAGTGACCAGTAGAGCCATATTCTAGCATCTCTAGATCCTTGGGGTGGATTATGGGGAAGGAGATCAAGTTAATGTCACCCAATGTACATTCTAGTAGCATAATAGAGACTTCCCAGGGCACTTTGTTAAGAAGGAAACTAAGGTCCAATCAACAAATGTATCTTGAGTATTTTTTATGTAGTCAGCACTCTGTTGTCACCAGGATCTTACCAAAAAAAAGAGTGCGTTGAGGGATTGGCACTTTCTGCTTATCACATGATTTTATATGGTATATTTACCTTCCCTGGCCCCACTCATTTCAGAGAGTTGCCACAGCTCCTTCCTGATCCTTTACAGGTAATGACTGCTGGGACTGACATCTAGTTTCCTATAAGAACGATCCTTTCACCAGCTTCTTTATTCTCCTCCACTGAATTCCCTTATTCCATTCTTCAAAATCTGAGTGGAATATCCTTTACAGAGGTCTCTTTGGGGGTTGGCCAGATTCCTCTTTCACACACATCCCTGCAAAATTGGTCACTCTCAGTTATATTTGTACTTACTTGGTGAGGTCAATACATGTGTTTATCTCATGGTTCACACTGCTTATCATGGGGAACTGTGTTTCCCCTTGTACCTATGTCCTCTGTGTTATGTGTATGGGGTTTACACCATTCTCTGGTATGTTAGTTCAGAAGCACGGGGAAAGGTCTCCTGCTTCTCAAGTGTCTTCCCAAGATGCTAACTGAAGACTAAAGTCCTTTTATGAAGGGATGGAGCCTTTCATTCCTGAACAAGAGAATAGGGCTCAGTCAGCAAGCACACCTTGAATAAAGCACATGTGAACTAAACCTTCCCTGGTGGTACACATGAGTGGGAGGAGGCCTTTCCCTAGACATCGCCCATTCTGATGGTGCCCCAACCAGGTCCTCTCATCACAGGATAGCGATCCTCCTTCTGCCAGCTGTAGGTCGGCTCACTAACCTCCAGGCTGTGGCATTCAGATCTAGCATGTAAATATTCTTCATCCGTGTCTGTCTTCCCAGGTGGATTACGATCGGGCACAGATGGTCCTCAGCCCTCCACTGTCAGGGTCCGACACCTACCCCAGGGGCCCCGCCAAACTACCTCAAAGTCAAAGCAAAGCAGGCTATTCCTCAAGCAGCCACCAGTACCCGTCTGGGTACCACAAAGCCACCCTGTACCACCACCCATCCCTGCAGAGCAGTTCACAGTACATCTCCACGGCCTCTTACCTGAGCTCCCTCAGCATCGCCTCCAGCACCTACCCCCCACCCAGCTGGGGCTCCGCCTCAGACCAGCAGCCCTCCAGGGTGTCTCATGAACAGTTTCGAGCGGCCCTGCAGCTGGTGGTCAGCCCAGGAGACCCCAGAGAATACTTGGACAACTTTATCAAAATCGGGGAAGGCTCGACCGGCATCGTGTGCATTGCCACGGAGAAACACACAGGGAAACAAGTGGCAGTGAAGAAAATGGACCTTCGGAAGCAGCAGAGGCGGGAGCTGCTTTTTAATGAGGTAAATTGTGTATTGGGGTCACCTTTGCTCTCCTATGTAACATTTATTTCCCATTTCAAAAACCATACCTGTACATTTCAGGACGTTAGAACCAGTATCCCATGTTCTCACGCAAGTGGACTTTGAACAGCTATCGTAGAAAGAGATTGGTGGTAATGGGAAACTGCCAGGGGAGGGCGAGCACACCTCATCAACAAGGATACCTGCATAATGAACATTTGTATACCTAATCCTGAATTGTACCCCACATCTTTAAAATTAGAAAATTAAAAAAATAATGATTAAGAAAATATAAAACAGCAGACTTTTATTTTCCATATCTGAAATATTATTGACATTTTAACATAAAATATTGAAAGGAAGGAAATCATACAAACAAAAAAAGAGCTCTGAAAATGTAAAGACAGAAATAACCTCTCCCATAATAATTCCTTCTAGTCTTTTTCTGTACACATAAGGTTGTTACCTTTTAAAGGACTTGATGTGTATCAGCTGCTGCACTAAGCCTTGGTCTCATTCGATCCTCACATAAACCCTACGAGTCAGGAAGATTTTTATTACAATTTTACCGAGGAAACCCAGGCTCAGATAGGTTAAATGACTAGTCCAGGGTCATACTGCAGGTGGACTGAACAGCTGGGATTTGAATCCCTGTTTAGCAGATTCCAAATCTCATGCTACTCTGTTTCTCCATTGGTATGTATGCATTTTACACAGTTGTGATATCATATATACCCCCTATAGCCTGTTAATTAATTAATTAATTAATTATTTGTACTTCTTTTTAAATTTTTTCTTTTAAAGATGTGGGGTTAATTATACAAATGGTCATTGTGCAGGTAGTAGCCTGTTTTTTAACACAATAAACAGGGGTAGGTTTACCAGTGAACTGTCACTCTTTAGGAACTTTAAAATATATTTTCCCAAATATAAAAATAATGAATTCTTCCTAGATAAAATATGGAAAGCACAGAAAATGCCCCACATAATCCCATAATCATGCAACAGCCAACATTAATATTTCAGCGTTTCCTTTCTATATTTTTTCTTTTTACATATTTCTTCTATTTGAGATAATTCTATATGTGAAGTTTGGTAACATTCTAATTTTATTTAATATTACCATTAGGTGAATAGCCATAAAATTAATATAAAATAAAATACATTACATAGTAATTATTTACTTTTATTAATATAAAATATGTTAGCATATTTTCTTAGCTATACGTCAAAAACACCATTTTGATGGCTAAATAGCCTTCTATCATATGTGTACCAAATGTATTAAGCTAGCCTGTAATTCATATTGTTTCCAATTTGTCACTTTTAGAATTTTACAGTGAGTGTTGTTGCACATAAGTCTTAATTTTTTCAGATTCCTATAAGTGGGATGAACAAATCAAACAGTATATAAAATTTTTTATAGAAATGATGTACAGTATTAATTTCCAGAAAGTTCATACCCATTAGAACCCCCATCACTAGGCCTGTCTCACCTTCACTAGCATCCTCAGATTCCATCATGTTATCTCTGTTCATCTGCTAGACATAAGTAAATCTTACTGTTTTAATTAGACTTTTATTACTAGTGAGGTAGAATTTAATTGTATTTAGGCCATTATTATTTCTTCATCAAATCATATGTTCTTTGTATAGTTTTCCATCAGGGTGGTAGCATTTGTTTTATTGATGTGTAAGAACCCATGGTATATTTAAAAAGTAACCCTTTTTCTGTATACTTGTACATACCCTTCTAGTTTCTCATTTGCCTTTTAAACTTCCTTATCACTTAAAAACTATAAAATAGGTAGAGGAACATGAGTAACTCCATCAGGAAAAATAAGCATTTTGGAGTAGTGTTCCTTTAACAAATTTATGAGAGCTTGTGGGTAGAGATGAGTTTTTGTGGGCAGGTAGTCTAAGTCCTAGAGATATCAAGTCAAGAGATCAAAGTTGGATAATATGCCAGTCTTCAGCAAAAGATGGACAATCCACATCTCTTAACTCCCAGAACAATCTATGGCTGCTTCACCTCTTTGACTTTCTGCTGTGGGTGTCCTCGTTCTCACAAAAGTATGCAGAAGTAGTTTGGTCCATAAATAGACACTGTGCAAATGCACTCAGCTGTAATTGTGAACCCCTCTTCCATGTGGCTCATGTGAAGCCCCCAGTGACCTCCACGCATCTCCATCTCCCAAGGATGCTCATTTCTTATGCATGTATCAAATCTTACAGAGTTCTGGGTGAGTAGTCTTAGTGTCTTCCCAGTCTACTATTCCGGATTTCTGGAATTATTTCCCAAACCCTGGTGTTAGAACAGACAGGGCAATGTAATACAGATCAACAACCCTATGACTTATTATTTAACACTAGCTCTGGAAACTCAATTCCTGGAAGTTCTTTCCAGTAAGCAGCCTCCTTAGCCTTTTTTATCCCTACGTCATATTTATTTTTATCTTCAAGATATACTCTTTGTGTTAAGCCCAAACCTCTCACAGATTTAACCCATACCTTCTCCCAAGGAGAAGTTTAGTTGTTCTGTGTAGCCCTACCCCTAATAACTGTTTACTTCATTTACTTGTGGGACTCATTGACTTACCATAAGTTGGGGACCAACAAAGGAGCATGGCAGTGCATTCTAGAGCAAACCTTTAGGGATATCTAATTACATCTCCCTAGAACAGTCATCTGAACTCCCTCTTGTAAATGCAAACCTTGCTTTGGCTCTGTTTTCATTTCTCTCTCTTTCTCTATCTGTCCAATGTCTGGGTGACCTTCCATTTTCTCCCAGATTTACTACCTTGATTTCTTTTATTTTTACCAGCTACCCATAATGCCTTTGTCTACAGTTGATACCTGAATGAACTCCCCACAATCAGTATCTCTCAGTTAATGGTACTTACAATGTGGGTGTGGCCACAAGAGAACAAAAAGCCAAATTTCACCTTCACAAGTAAAAAGTGTTTGTCTCATTCCCCCAGGTAGTGATCATGCGGGATTATCACCACGACAATGTGGTCGACATGTACAACAGCTACCTTGTTGGCGATGAGCTCTGGGTGGTCATGGAGTTTCTAGAAGGTGGTGCCTTGACAGACATTGTTACTCACACCAGGTAAGTTTCTTTATTGCCCAGACAGGTAACTCAAAATGTTTTTTATTCTCCTCCAGGGTAAGACCTCAATGACTATCTTTATGAACCTTTCATAAATTGTAGATACTTTGGAGTCAGGAACATGGCTACCCTTTTCACCATATTCCCCAGAGTGCCTTTGTAATATCAGGCATGTATAGTTCTGTCATTTCTTTAACAGTCTCCCTGCCCTCAGAATGTCATTAATACCCATTGATTTAAAATCAGCAAGCTGCTGGGAATGAAGTTTCCATGACAAATAGTACAATTTCCCATCATCTACAAAGATTTCTAAAGCTGAGTTTTATTCTCCCAAATTGCTCTGCCATGAGTAAATATCACCAAGGAGACCTGGGGAATGAAGGAACAAAGAGAGAATTGGTCAAAGTTTTATGTTATAATAATGAGCCCGGGGGGGAGGGAGGTCACATAACATCAATAAGGGTACCCACACTTTATTTGTATATGGCCACGTTTGTACCTAACCCTGAATTGTACCCCACATTTTTAAAATAAAAATAAAATAATAAAAAATTTTAAAAAAGAATAATGAGCCTACATAGGAGAGAGAAATTCTTCACTTCTGCTTTAAAATTATCTTGCAGACTAGGTACAGTGGCTTATACCTGTAATCCCAGCACAGGGATGCAGAAGTGAGAGGATAGTTTGGGACCAGGAGTTCAAAATCACCTGAGCAATATAGCCAGACCCTATTTCAAAAAAAAAGCCAGACATGTTGGGGTGTGTGCCTGTAGTCCCAGCTAATCTAGAGGCTGAGGCAGGAGAATTGCTTGAGTCCAGGGGTTCAAGGCTGCAGTGAGTGATTATGGCACCACTGTACTCGACCTGGGCAAGAGAGAAAGACCCTGTTTCTAAATAAACAAATATCTTGCAAAAAGCAATGATTAACTACCAGCCTGTTGCTTTAGCTATTTGTCTCCTTGACGTGTCCGTTCCAGCCATTTCATTAAGTATTTATTGAGCACGTTTTATGTGTCAGAGTCTTTCCTACGTGCTGAGGATATAGAAGATAGAAATAAATTAGGCTTAGATATATCCCCTCAGGGAAGTCACAGATTAGAAATAAATACATTATAATACCTGTGTAGAATTAGAAAGATTGTATATAAGTAGTATAGAAGAATATCTGAATGTCTCTATGAGGGAGAGTCAAGAAATATTTCTAACATAAAGTGATACTTGGGATGGGTTTTGAGAGATGAATAGGAGTCCCTTAAGAAGGCAAGTGAGAGGAGAAGGGCATTGAAGTCAGAGGACAGAATATGTGCTAAAGCAGTGTCTGTCAAAATCACTGTGGCTCTTATTTAAAATGCATATCCAATTCAGTAGAGAAGGGTTTAAGACTTCTGCATTTTTAAAAGGCTCCCAGGGGATGCCAGTGCTGCTGGTTCATGGGCTACACCTGAAAAAGCAAAGTACTAAGGAATAGAAATACAAAATGGTGTGTTACATTTGTTCTGATTGATACATACAATGCCAGAGTTAAAAGAGGATCATCATGAGGAAGAGACATTGGATATTAGCTGATGTTTCCAAAATGGCATCCAAATCAATAGGTGGAAAGCATGGCAAGAAAAAAGTTTTGGGAAACTTTCTGTGAGGAGAGAATATGCTGCTTTTTCTTCTCTAAAATGAGACAAAGTTTCATAGCCCTACAGCTCTCAGTCTATAGTAGGCCATCTACAAATGAAGGGATGGTAGTGAAGACAGTGAACATTTATCACCAGTATTTCAGCAGACAGACTCTTTTTGGTGCAGCAACAGGACACGCCTACCAAGAAAACATGCAAGATCATCTTAATTAGTAAAAACAAATACACAGGAAAGATCTAAAGAGAAGGTAAATGTGATTTATATATAAAGCAGTTAATGAAAATATGTTCAAGGGAGGAGATTTTTTTCTTACCTTGGAGAGCATCACACAGCTAGCTACTCAGGTCTCTCTACAACTTTCCCTTTGTCAAGGTTATTTCTGTTCATAGTTTGTATCAGTGGGGAACCACTTGAGAGCTAGCCTATCTGGAATCCATTGTATTTTCTAATGTTTTCCATCCAGTTTTGTCAACTAATCTCCCTTAAATGCAGAGTAGCTACAGAGAGTGAGAAGAAATTGAACATCAAGAGCACTACAGATATTTGGTATTTGAAATCCTTAAACTGATAACCCAAAGAGTTTTCTACAGTAGATATCGAATAACTAAATTTATTGAATGATTGGTTGGTTGGATAGTTGGTTGGTTGGTTGGTTGGTTGGTTGGTTGGTTGAAAATTTTTTCTAATCCCTAAAGTTTTGCTCAAAGTATTATCTGAGGACCTGAGAAATTGTTAGAAATGCAGAATCTCAAGTACTACCCTAGGTCAACTAAGTGAGAATCCATGATCTAGCCAAATGCTTGCATGTTTCTTATACATACTGAAGTTTTATCATTAACCTAGCATCTTATTAAATTAAACCCTTCTAACTTTCAGGAAACAGTGGATTCCAGAAGGGAAAGGAAAGTGCCAAGCACTGTCAGGCTCTTCACACATTAACTCATGTGACCATACACATCTCTATAAGGCGGGTGTTGATGCACCTGTCTGCCAGATGATGAAGCTATGACTCAGAGATGAAAAGTGTCTTTCTCAAGACCACACATTTAGAGACTGATAGAGCCAGGATTTGAATTTCAGGTTGACTTCTTTTCTGGAGAAGTAGAAATGTACCGCCCATTCTTCAGTTGGCCGTGTTAATTTTAAAGGCATTGAGTTAGGAATCAGTAGCATTTCTTATGTGTTCCAGTCAAAGGTAATCTTTCAGTTAGTGATTGGGATAATATTCAATTGATTTTTGGTATAGTTGACCTGTAGAGAATTGCTATGCCTGCTTCAAATAACCCAAATCTCATGGAATTCAAGAAAAACAAATTTTATTAAAGATGGTGGTTATTGATCCTGAATTAATTTTAAGACATATTTTGAGTTTGTTCCTGCCTCTGACGCTTTAAACCTCTGAGAAATGTGCTTTTCAGCACATGTGAAATTGTCATGTAAAAACCATTCAGCATAATGACCAACACTTTCACCTGCAAAACCAAGAACACAGAGTCGGTCAATTTCTTCTCTACTTCAGGCAAGATAATTTCTTCCCACCTGCCTTTGTATGAGACTGATTTGTTGCTGTGGAATTCGTTTTGAAGGGAAAGGTGTGTTACTTTATACTCTTCAACTTTATACCTTCGATGATCTCCTAATGGGCTATCTCCTTATACTTTGCTTTTGAATCCCAGCATTACTCAATCTGGGCGTTCTGGTATCAACAAGAGAGAAACACAGATTAAAGGCCATTCATTTCCTTGTCCTGCTGAGCTAAGATTTACCTAGTGTTACTGAAGCTTTCCAAGTAGTCCTTAAAGTTGGGCTCTAGTCAGTTTTACCCTCTGTCTCTCTTGACAGTCTCTTCTATTTGCATGAAATTTTGTTTTAGGAGCATTTTCACATTTGGTATTTAACTTGGTCCTTCCAATTGCTCTGTGATAGAAATTGATACATATAAATAAGTTAGGCAGATGCTAAATGAGTACTTTTGAGGGCACTGAACAACCCCTGCTATCCAGATAATTCTCACCTAAATTCCTCAAGGGCTCAATTATTTTATTCATTAGGAAAATGCATTATTTTGAGTAGGAAGGGCAGTGTGGGACAGTGGAGAAAAGGGAAAGCATGGCTTCTGAACTAAAAAATAAATGTAATTTGAATCCATCACCTAGCCACTTTCTTAGCTTTGTAACCTTAGGCAGGTCACCTAATCTCAGTCTCCTCCTCTGAAACCTGGCACCTTTTTCAAAGGGTGCCTCCATGAGATACAGGAGCATGTATCCAGTTCTGTGCTTCCTTCTCATTTCCTTGGTCCATTTATTAAAGTATTATCCACTCACAATTAGTTATTAGTAACTTCCTAGGTCCAATTTCCTTATGAAAAAATGAACAAAACCTTTAGCTCCTGGAGGAAAAAGAGGGAGGTGAATGGAAAGTTGGGTAAGTCTCAGAAAGGGAGCTTAGCAATCCAAAGACCACTTTGCCTAGGTACAGCCTTGAAGAGAACTGTGGCTGTCCTTATTTCCAAGATGAGGAAAAAAGAAACCTGAGGAATTTAAAGAACTTTCTCAAGGTCCCCTAACAGCCACACCTGGAACTTTGGCCTGCCTATTCAGTGTGCTCTCTCTTTGGGATCCTGGAGACTTGTTGATGTATAAGGAATTATCTGTAAGAGTCCATGGAAATGTATTTGTATTAATACCCAAACATCAACACATGGGAATCTTTTTCCTTTGACATATAGTTGGCGCCTGTCATCTTCAGTGCCAAGTCTTTGTTCTAGGAATCAGATCCCAAAGACTCCCTTTCTCTTGCCTGCAGATTTTCCAGCGATGGGGTGGAGAACATGAACTGGTTTATCAGAACTCAAGGTAGCTGCTGCCTCTCTTGAGCATTTTATTTTTTATTTTTTTATTTTTATTTTTGAGTTGGAGTCTCACTCTGTTGCCCAGACTGGAGTGCGGTGGCCACTCCCGGCCACCGCAGCCTCGACCTGCTGGGCTCTGGCGATCCTTCCGCCTCAGCCTTCCGAGTAGCCGGAATTACAGGCGCGCGCTACCACGCCCAGCTAATTTTTTGATTTTATTGTAGAAATGAGGTCTCGCCTGCCCAGGCGGGTCTCGAACCCATGGGCTCAGGAAATCCACTCACCTCAGCCTCCCAAAGGCTCGGGATTACAGGCTGAGCCACCGAGCCCAGCTTCTCTTGAGCATTTTAAAGATGGCCTTGAACCTGTCTTGTTCCTTAAACATTATTTCCTTTCTAGAATGAATGAAGAGCAAATAGCTACTGTCTGTCTGTCAGTTCTGAGAGCTCTCTCCTACCTTCATAACCAAGGAGTGATTCACAGAGACATAAAGAGCGACTCCATCCTCCTGACAAGTGACGGCCGGGTAAGATTTTCATGTGTGGCCCCTCCACTGTTTTCCTTGTCACTTTGTCTGTCATGGGCATAATTCTCTTACAAACACTTTCTCATAATTCTAATTGTCTTAGTCACAAGTCACCCGCCACTTTTCCCAGAAGGCTTACAAAAAGGAAATTACCATCCTGTCCTCTGTGGCATCCTGTTAGTCAGAATTACCTGTGACCTGAATTTGATGGATAATTTGCCTCCTTAACAATGAGTGTAGGACGTAAGGGCAACGGTGGAAATGTCTCTTCTTTTCTTTTCTTTTTCTGCCATGTTCCTATTTCATATTTCTACTTTGTTGCAAAAGAGCTGATTTTTCTAGGACTGTGTCCACCCTATTCATGTGAATGTGCATGTCTGCAGTATCTCTCAGAAAGCCCCGGCAGGACACAGATGACCACATTTACTTGTGTAATTAAAGGACAGTTTAATAAAGGGACAGTTTACAAAGTGTGGGCAGATGTAGAAAAATCATGAGGATTAGTTCAGTACTCTAGAATGGAACACCACTCTCAATACCCCTTGGCCAAAAAGGTGAGACAGGAAAATAGCTACTGGAATCTGGAAATAGAGATTACTGTTGTTCTAGGTTGCCTGGCAGGAGTTCTGCTTTTTGGTAGAAGCCATGCCACAGTGAATCTGCATGACAGGAGCTAGAAGAATAAATAATCCAACTTCAGCCTGTTCCCTCCTTTCAATCCTCTACTAATGTCCCCCATTGGCTGAACCCAGCCTGAAGCCATCAATGCGGTCATTACAAGTTGACCTTCCAAGACTTAGAGGAGGGAGGAGAACGGATCCAGAAGAACAATCAGCATATATTGACCACACTGGCATATCTCAGGGTCCAGATTTCTGCTTTCCCCTTCACTGTGATAGGGATGCTTAAGGGATTCTTTTGAAACTCATCAGTTCCACCAGAGTATGGAGCATAGACTACAACAGCCAAGGAAATGAAGAGTTGACATTCCAAGGAAGGCTTACTTAGATGGAAGAGTTTCAAAGCATAGCTTTTTACCATTTAAGCCTTTTTATTGCCACCTCTCCCAAAACTCTTACAAGAGGCAATGACCCTAGGATGAATGGAACCAGCCAGTTCTTTGATGTACCTGTCTTTTAAAACTCAGCTACCTCAGGCCATATGGAAAATGTTTGAGTTACTTCAGAATTTGCCCACGAATGATCAGAGGTCAGCCAGAAGAAACTGTTCAAGTACTTTGACTTTTCTGTTTTGGTCTTTTAAAAATTGTAAATTTTGTTGTAGAAAATTTAGTAAACTCAGAAAAGTATAGAAGATAAAACAAAGATCACCTATAATCCCATTGCCTGTATTTCCCATATTTCCACATACATGTATACATAATGTACAAACTTGGATTGTGTCTAATGGGCAATTTTAAATTTTGATTTTGCATTGCTCTAAATTTTTAAGAAAGGAGGTTACAGAAGCATGTATCAATCAGGTTTTGCTGCATAACAAACCACTCAACACTTAGTGGCTTAAAACAACCATTGGCATTTATCTGCTCATGAGTCTGTGAGTCGGCCCCTGGGCTGACCTCTGCTGGGACAGCTCATCTCTGCATTGTGTGGTGTCAGCTGAGCTCTCACTTGCATTTGTGATCAGCCTACTGTTGATGGTCTCATTTGTTTACCTAGCAGTTGACTGACTTGCAGCAGGGACAGTGAGGGTAACAGGGCCAAGTGTCACTCACCTCCCAGCAAAGTAGCCCAGGCTTACTCACGTAGTGCCAGTGGCAAAGTCTCCAAGAGCTGCAGGAGAAGCAAGCCCCCATGCACAAGCCCTTTCAAATCCTCTGCTTTTATTATGTTTGCTAAAGAAAGTCACACTACACAGCCAAACCCAGACTCAAGGGATGGGGAGAAGATGCAAAGATACATTTCAAAGAGTTATGGCTACAGGGAAGGGAGAATATTTGCAGTTTTTTGCAGTCTTCCATAGAGCAGGAGACCTATGAAGAAAGGGCAAGAATCCTCCCCTAGCCTGACTCAGGAAAGCATCAGGCAAGGCCCCATGATCTCAGAACACAATTTGCAAAGCACTGAATTGGTCTACCAGTCAGCTTTAAGGACTGGTACTTACAGAAAAAACAGAGCAGGGCAGTTTCAAGTCGGGCTTTGTTTTTCTACTTCTGGAGATTTGGTGGTGCAGGCTTCCTTGTTTAAAGTACACTTTTGATATCAAAATCAGACATGCAACTCAGATAATAAGTCATTACTTAATCAGATTGCTTAAAGATCTCCGCTCTCCTTAATGTGCAAGATTATGAAATCATTCAGTTGTCATTCTCAAAAGAAGGACCTTTGTCTCAAACATCTTCTGCGCCTCTATGCACCCAGGTAAGAGCTCACAGGGACTGACATATTGTAAGCGCTTTTAGTCTTATTGATCTGTCCCTTCATTCTTTCAGTAAATATTTGGTGAATGTCTACTCTGTGTCAGGGATGGTTCTAAGACCTAGGGATGAACAAAGCAGAATCACTTATTTCATTAAACTCAATTAGAGAATGGGAATATGACAATAAACAAATAAATAAGCAGACAAAATCACCACCAGACATGTAATGTTAAGTGCTACATTTTCTTTTTTTTTTTTTAATCATTTTTTAAAATGATATTGTGGGGTACAGTTAAGGGTTAGGTATACAAATATGCTCCGTT